ATTATACAAAAAAAAAAAAAAAAAAAAGATAGATGATGAGCACGTGGCAGCCGCTAGTCTCTGCTCCCTCCACTTTCCAACTTCTGGTGCAATCTCCACATGCACATGCAGGTATCCCAAATGTTATGAATTCAGAATTATTAGTGAAGCGAAGCTTGCGAAAACTACCTGCCATCGAAGCATATAAATCGACCTCTCACGGGCTCACATCATGCAAACCTTTGCCAGGCTCGCAAGCAAAGGTAGCAGTGTAACTGTGTAACTGTATAAGTAGCCAAGTAAGTCCATGATCGATAGAACCCCGAGTTGACTGTTTATAAATAGGGTTTGGTTCGCTGGAGGATATACAGCCACACTGTGCCATGGATGAAATCCGATTATAATTACAAAGTGAAAAACCTTCCCACTCCACTTGTATCTGGTTTTACCATCACCTCACAAACGGTCTTTTTTCCAGAATATCTGAGACTTGAGTGACATGAGTGACAACAACATACACTTGAATATTGTAGACTTAATAAATTTGAATTAACAATTAATCGTTGGAGTACTTTACATGGCTTGTGGAACTCTAGAAGTTATAGGATCTTATGGTTAGGTACATAATTGTATGGTCAAAGATTCATGGATATTACTATCAAGAGTTAAGAGTCGATTGGGGCAGCTGTCAAATTACATAGATATTGTATGAACTTAATAACTACATGTACAACTTGATAGGCGATGAGTCCATATTATACCATATATTTTACCCTATTCTTAGTTATAGTTTATTATTTATTTTGGTAGAATTTTGATACTTTGTTATATATTTTCAATGTAGGACATTCGACTTACTCTGGATAAAAAAGTAATCAAATGGATGAATTTTAGAGTGATTCTAATTGAAAGATGTTTGTAACCCTTTCAAGATGATTGTATCAAAGTTTCAAATTTTTCTATCTGGCCGTGGCGATGAAATAAAGGCACAGCGGGCAGCTTTTCTAAATTGATGTTTTTGGACGTTTTAGGTATTTTGGAGGTCAAGATGACATATTTTGAAGAAGATTCCCTCTGAGGATTTGTAGGGGACATCTCCAGATTTCAAAAAAGACCTTTTGGGACCAAATCGAAGTTGATTTGGTTGGTCAAAAGTCTGATTTTCTGAGAAGTCCGAATTTCAGTTCAAATAGGAAACCTTTTATTTTCTGTTTTATTATTTTATTATGTTTCCTAGTTTTATTCTAAGACCTTTTAGGGTTTTATTTTGTAGTAGTATAAATAAAGATATTTAGCCATTAGGAGAGGAAAAAAAAAAAGGAGAGGAGGAAACGCAGGCACACTTTAGAGAGCCTTTGAAGTTTATTTTCAAGGTGTTTTCTTTCCATGCTCTTAATAATATTCTGTTTTATGATTATTCGTAACTAATTTCTTTTGCTAGGGCGAGGTCACGAGCCTTAGCAAGAATATGTAGTTTCTTTTCAATTTACTTATGATATTATGCATGTATGTTTTGAATTATTAATCATCGTTTTAAACTATCTAATTGTCTGAGTGATTCACGACCATGAGGATATTTAGAAAAGTAATTTGATGCAATTTTGGTTGGAAGGTTTCCTGAAATTGGCGTTGGCTTCTTGTGGTTAATAATTGTAATTTCACTTGGGATGAACACCACCTCTTAAGGGTTGCATGGTTTTTCAAAGGGTTTTCACAAAGGCGTGTGCTATCCACACACCCCTTTTTACTTCTCACACACCCTTTGTTAATTTCTATCCGTTGATCTTCTTTAATTCATCTGATCTGACGGCCGAAAATTAGAAGGGTGTGTGAGAAGTAAAAAGAGGTGTGTGGATATCACACCCCTTCACAAAACTTAATGCGTCTTTCATGTTTATATTGATCTGAATGTCTGGACGGGTTGCATGTTAGATACACGTTCAATGTTGGAGGTTCCAAGAAGAATATATATTAGGAAAACCTAACCTTCGAAATATGCATGGGTAATTCATAAGTAATTGGAAGAATTACGTAGGATTGTTAAGGTGACGACTGAACCCTAGGGCTTTTACAAATTGATTTTCTTTAAATTGGTTTCTAGTTGATTTATTTAATTATTTTTAATTTAAATTCGCTTTTATTATATTAAATTTTAAAATCAACATTATCCAAACTTTGTTTTAAATAATTAATTAAGTGTTGGTTTAAACACAAATTATTCATTCAATCCCTGTGGAAAATGACCTTGCTTGAGCTGCTATACTACAACAACCTTGTACTCTTACAAGTATTTTTAAGTGTTTTTATCCCTACTTTTACATGTGGTAAAAATCCTATCAATAAGTGTTGATTTTTATATCAAGTCCTCCATGTAAGTAGAAGTAATATTATGGCTCAGGTGGCTGCTTCCATCTACTCTCCCTATCTCTATCTCTTTACACATCATTATCACTAGGTGACCGGAGCAACTGAGCGAATGTCACAAACTTGACACTTTACGTTGGTCCAAGATCGACCCGATTTTGTGCATCAACATACAAGCTTCACTGACAAAGCTTCAACCTAAAAGCTTCACCTACAAAGCTTCAACCACAAAGCTTCACCTACAAAGCTTCAACCTAAAAGCTTCACCTACAAAGCTTCAACTTACAAGCTTCACCTACAAAGCTTCAACCTAAAAACTTCACCTACAAAGCTTCACCTACGAAGTTCAACCAAAAAGTTTCACCTATAAAGCTTCAACTATTCAAGAATATCAAGGCACCTCCTTCGGCAACTCTCCTCACCCGGAGACTTGGGGGACTCCCACTATATGCTACTAAAGTCCGGTACTTAGAAGTTTCGTGACTACTTAGTGACTTGGATTTTTCAAGTCCCCAACCGAGAAGCTTTCCTCACTCGGGAACTTAGGAGAGCACTGTTTGTACCATACTTGACCAATCCCGAAACAACCAAGCACCGGTCAACGTCATACCTTCAAGGATCCACTGAGGGGTCCATGCTGAGACACCCCTGTTGAAGCATAAGAGTTTCCCTCCAACCAGGAGGCCAATCATAACACAACACATGTCAATGTCAGAATAAAGTTCATAGAGTCCCACATCGACTGCGAACGAAAGCTGGAGACTCTCCTCAACTATAAAAGAAGATCATTCTCCTACAGTTAATTCCTAATGTCATTATTGTACTTAAACTAGTCATTAGAACTCACTAATGATGATTATGCTTGAGCCTATGTATTTGTGTAAACCTTTCACAATTAATGAGAACTCCTCTACTCCGTGGATGTAGCCAAACTTAGGGTGAACCACGTACATCTTGTGTTTGCTTCCCTATCTCTATCTCTTTACACATCATCATCACTAGGTGACCGGAGCAACCGAGTGAAGGTCACAAACTTGACACTTTACGTTGGTCTAAGATCGACTCGATTTTGTGCATCAATAGTTTACATCTTGATCTCGAAATGGATTCCTTTTTAGTTTCCATCAATGATAAACTTGGCCTTTGGTTGTGACTGTCTCTCTCCTATATTATAGGAACGATTTTTTCTAGCAACTATTTCATAATTTTAGTAGCATCACTTAATCTACCATTACATGCCATGCGTTTGAAAAAGTAATCCACGCATCCAATTAAAACTTGTGACTTGATGAAATAGTTGACAAAGAAAACCTCTCATGTTATGTACCGTTTTTCATCTTCCAATAGTATGCACGCACATGGTGTAAATTATATATTTAATTTCCTAGGATGAATGCACATGAACATGGTGTAACTGTAACATAAGTAGCACCTGCGAAATCCTACGTTCCGCTTTCCACGTGGATTTATTCACAAAACCGGTTAGAGGATTCGATCATCTTTGGCTCCCACTGGAAATGTATAGCTATTTTAGCTATGCCCTAGTCCCAATCATCCTTAAACTTTGCATTGTCAATAATTACTTGCAAGTTGCAAATTAATCCCTATCTAATTCACAATTTTCCTACCAATCTGCCTCTTCCCTGACATTTGAAATTTAACAATTTAATTTTTTTTGGAAAAAAAGAATTTTCTCACCTGTTAGTTGCTAATTAAAAGGGATTTAAAAGAGTAGTGTTTGGTCACATGTGAACTGGTTCATTCAATATTTAGTGAAAATATTTTTTATATTATGTTCATATTTGGTCGATAATTCATAATATTAGTTAAGTAACGATATGCTATTAATTGACACATGGTACTGAATAATTACTGTTGGCCCTACTTAACAAAGGTTTTAATTAACAATTAATATTATGGTCTAGTAATATATTTTTCTTTGTAAAAGTTAATTGTTACTAAAATTATCAATTTGTTTAACACATATGAATTACCTAAATAATTTTTTTTCCTTGAAAAGGGAACTAGCTAGTGACTTCGCCACAATAGTTCACCATTTCGAGGGCCGAAAAGACTCAAAAAAACATTTCAACCTCCCCTAAGCACTATCATGCGGTTTACCTACTCTTACTTATCAGTCAACATGAACAAGAAAAGTGGGAGGGAGGTGCGGGAATGAGGTTTGCTATTCAATGGCCCAACAAACGGAAAATGACAAAGGGCCTAAATGGTTGAAAGGCCGACATGCAAAACATATCATTGCAAAATCAAATGCTACAAAACCAAAGGGCCCAAAACTTGAGAGAGCATGAGAAAACAGTGAAGCGCTAAAATCTGGAACTCAATAACTTAAAACGGCAAATCGCGCACATCTCGGGGACTGGTCGTTTAGAGTAGATGAGGGCAACGTGGGTTCCGCAGTTGCTGCTCATTCCACACACTCCTTACAAAAACTGTCTTAAAAAACTACCTCTTCCACCCCCCACTTCCCCTTCCTATATTATCAAATCGAAAATCTGCAAATGTAATGTAGTTTCTTTCCCGTTTCGAACCCATCAGGTAAATGTAAAATACTTCAAGTTGATGTTTCTTCTGCAAGGCGATTTTCTATTCTGAACTACTCTAATTCGGGGGACGGGGGATTTAAACACGGGTGCAAAGGGACGGGATCACTAGCAAACTGACCTAACCACATATGCTTGAAGTTTAATTTTGAGAACGAAAATTGTGGCATTGTTAGTAGCTACAAAAGACGATCAGCATTGAATTTGCCTGATTTAAGTAACTCAAAATGCCACTGGTATTTCGGTCATTGTAAGAAAGTTGAATTATTCAACCTCTGCATTTATCATTTTTGTGACCATTTTTTTTCTTCTTTTCTGAATTTAAATGGAAATTTTCAGATTGTGCACTGTGCTAGAAATTTTCTTATGGAAATTGCCAAGTCCATTTGAAATGGCTACAATCTTATGTTTTTTAAATTTTATTTTATATTATTATTTTTTCCAGTTGCCGAGGAGAAATGAGGGCGTGCGCCATGTACTGTTCTAACTTGCAGATACCTAAGTTTGGAATTCAGTCACCATCTCTTCGATTGGCATCTTTACGAAGAAGACTAACAACAACAACCGCTTTAAGCAAATCACATTCGAAATCCTTCAGAAGCATACAATACTCCGATGCTCAAGCAACGATTTTGGATTTCGGAGTTTTGAAGGATCTTGTGAAAATATTTGTTCTAGACCTTGAAACCACCGGACTTTGCAGAAGGATAGGACATGTAACTGAAATCGCACTCCGCGATCTTCAAGGCGGCAAGAACAGTTGCTTTCAAACCCTGGTGAACCCTCAACAACGTGTTTCAAATTGTAGCATCCACGGTATAACAACCGACATGGTGACACATTCAGATGTCCCGAGGTATGTTTTTCTTTATACAAAAAGTGTCGATGCTATTAGTAGTTCCACCACTCATTATACGTTAGGTTACTTACGTGAGTTTTACATTCTTCGTCAGGAAGAGTTGGCATTGGGCAATAACTTAATTAGAATTTGTTGTGTAGGATGGTGGAGTTGATTCCGATTCTTCTCGAATACATCAGAAGCCGGCAAGGACCTGGAGTGCAAGTTTTATTTGCAGCTCACAATGCACGGCGTTTCGACGTGCCCTTCTTAATCAAGGAATTCAGCTCCTGCTCGTTTGAAATTCCTCCTGACTGGCTGTTTCTGGACACCCTCGCACTGTCGCATGAGTTAAGGAAATTATACGGTAAGAGCTATTTCTTTCACATAATGTGCAGACAAGTTGGCTAGAGCAATGTACTATCCTTCCGCACCTACGTTCGAACCCCCTTCCCTTAGTTTAGATTAGATAAATTAGAATACCGCTCAAACGCGGAAACAAATAGTGGGTTCTAATAATGCTATTGACAGGGCCAAAGGTTCCTCCAAAGATCTCTCTTGAGGGACTTAGTGAGTTCTACAAGATCACTAGAGAAGGTCCAAAACACAGGGCCATGGCAGATGTGAACTTGCTGACATCTATACTTCCAAACATGACTTCTGACCTCAACCTCGGAGTCGCGGACCTTTTGCAGAGGAGTTTCAAGGCTTCTGTCTGCAGTATTACTTGAAGAAGAAGAAAAAAAAATGAAGAACTCAATCTGCAAGCATATGTTAATATACCACAGTTTTTGTTTCCTGTTTTGTTTTGTTTTGTTTTCCTTGTACAATTGTCGTCGACTATTTTCCCTAAAATATTATAGATGCACATGTGATATGAAATGAATCATTAGTGCAGTTGATGTTTATAGTATAGGGGAATCACTCGCTAGAGTAGACAATTACAAACCCACAGGAAACATTTGCCGAAATATATATCAAAATACATGTTTAAGGAATTGTAATTAGCGCTCTAAAAAGTCATCAATCATCATCTACAATTTGTCATCTATATTTCTATTTTGGAGAGCTTACGACAACTCTCTTACTCCCAATTTATATCTTAATTTTCGAAAAACAACAAAAGAAGTCGTTTCATTATTGAATACAAGTTGGATTAAACTAATGTAAGTCAATCCACAAAGAATTGTTTGTGAAGCAAAACAAATCTTATTTCTGACATATTTAGGTATTTGAAGTCAAAAAAGCCATGAATCGATACGAGAAACAATAAGAATGAGAAAATATGTGTAACAGATAAACCACCACTCTCTTAGATATCCATACCCAACTTTTTTAGGAATGCAATACCAAAATGATGTGAGAACCATTTACTTTCATGCATTAGTTTTTTTTTTTTTTTTTTTTTCTTTTTAGATGAAAAAGTATTTTGCATTAGTTGTTCCTAAACACATAATATGATATGAAAGAAAATGATACCTACTAATTGTAATTCATTATTTGTAAGCAATGTTCTAAAAATCTCCGTCTAGTACCGTCTAAGCCCCGACTACGCGTTAGCCCGTTGACCGCTGCCCCTATTAATCCTCAGACTTTTAAAAGTTAAGAAAGGACACTTAGACTTGCCTATGTCACTCTCACTTAGACAAAAAATAGATAATTTTCATTTTGCATTTTATTTTATCAATAAATTGTAAAAGACTTGTTGAATACTTGGATGAACACTTATTATATGCTTGTTTTCCATGTTTTCAATATGTTCTAATACTTTATAATATGCCATTCTATTTTACTATTTATGTATTCCAATACAGTTATATATATATTTTTTAAGCCTAAGTCATCTACCCGTCGCCTGAATAGACAAAAATTTAAAATAAAAATAAAAATTTCATTTGATTCATCGATCCTCAAAAAAAGCAATAAACAAAGTTCCATCGTTGAGAGAGAAATGGGAAATTCGTGGAAAGTTAAAATCCCCACCACGTAATAGTTCACCAACACACCTTCATCGATGTTGTTTTTCAGCTGGAAGACCAGCGCTGAAGCGCCTTTTAGAATCTTGTTTGTAAGTAAACATGCTTTTAAGTTTAGTATCTCATCCAAGATACCTAAGCGCTAGACCCCTACACGCCTAAGGCCCCTCGACGCTTAAGCGCTAAACCCCTGTCCATTGCCGGGCTAGTGTCTAACGCCTTTTAGAACTTTATTTATAAACTAGCCTCTCTGCACACACTCAGGTGCATGCGAGAGGCATTTTTGCATCACGGACACTATGCGCGCCCAAAAATGTGTTCCTTATATATTCTTATATTTCTCAAGTGATTACTAAAAATAGATAGGATATGTCATTGTCAAAGGAGATGGCCTCGTCCAACTATTTAGGGAAAAACTTAAAATGTAATCGAAATCGAGGGACTCTCTCAAAAGGGGATTAGATTCTTTCCCCAAATCGCAAATGAAGTGTGTGTAGAGACTCATTGTTTTTGCCTCAGACTGTATTGCTCTTTGTTTTTCTTTTATTATTATTATTATTTTTTATTTTGTCAAATGATAGATTTTGTTAGATTAGATGTTATATTAGCCATGAACGGAGTTCAAACCCATGCTGTCATGCAAGGGGTTAACACCTTTGCACCACTGTGGTAAATGGCCACTTGCAGGACTGTATTGCTCATTGCCAAAGGATGAACTAAAATGTGTAATCTGAGGAAGTTTTAACCCTCAGATTACTCAAAAGTCATTGCTTATTGCCAGTGTTATCCATTTGGTTTAGATATTAATAGTGTCATTATGTTTTAAGTTACAAACAAACTAATTAAGTCTAAGTGGTCAAATAGTATTTCTCCAAGTTGAATGAAATTTGCATTCTATTGAGAAAATGCGTTCTCTTCTTCTTTTTACAAATTCAATATCGAATAAAACTTGTTCACTGTCTGGAGTTTTTTTCTAACAACCCACACAAAACAATAAGCATGGAGATCACAGTTACCTACCAAGCAAAATAGTCAAAGACAGATATGTACCACAATAGATCTTTTACATATCTCAAAACCACATACATCATTTGACATAGGATTCATCATAGTATTTGGTAGAGAAAATTAAAATTATTTTTTTGTTTACACCACAACATTGGCACCATAAATATTAACAACAAAGGCAGTCAATCCCTTTCATTATGCAGCCTATAATAGGAAAAAACAGAAAGCTCAAATATGTCGGCTCACTTTGCAATAGTAGATATCGTACTAATAATTTTGGACGCTCTTCCCTCCAAATTTTCTCAAATACCTATCCTTTACATATAGCTCGTTTGAATGCAACTCGAAAAATACTCAAAAAATTGCTCGGAAGAACTATATACAAACAAAAGCAAACTAAAAGTAAGCTATTGTAACAAATTTAGAAACACACAAACATCACGACAACTGAGACTTAAAACTCAACAAAAACCAAATAGTAGAAACTGAAAATATATATGCTCTTGAATTGAGAACTTCATCAAATGAACAACAATAAATCTAATACAATCTATCAAAAACCAAAGGGGAAAGAGATAATTTCAAGGCCCTGTAATGTCGAAGGCCACGCAATAATCTTGTATCATTATACAATTTCAAGGCCTTGACACGAAATGATTGTGAAAGGCCTTTTTTTTAATCACGGTGCGCTGCGCGTGACTCACATTTTAAACGTATTTATCTGTATGAATTGCTTCACTTGTTTGTATTTCATTATTTCCTTTCTTTACAAGACATATTAGAAACGTAAAAGAAAGGTGATCATCATGTATTAATTCAAAGTTTACAGAAGTTGAGGGAGAATATTTGATAGAATTGAAACATTGTTCGTACCAAGTAGGACAAAACCCCAAACGGAGTAAAAAGACATCCTAACATTGAGAACAATTTATTTAAGAAGATGACAATCTGTGCTATATTGCTCCTGTCATTTCTCTCCATACTTGATATGTTGAACTCCAGTTGAAAGCTTTTTGGATTCCTACATAAAAAAATAAAAATAAAAAAAAAAAAATTTATTTGACAAAAGAAATGAGCACTTTAAGGGAAAAAATTACTATAACAGTTAACTAACATATGAAAGTGATACTATCCTAAAAATCATGTCCTCAAATGTGTGTCATCAATTTAATTAAACTATAGTGAGCAGCACATTAGTCTTTATTCTTTTATTTTTTATTTTTTTTTATTTTTTATTTTTTATTTTTTTATGTGCAACAACACAGTGCAAGGGTTAGAATATATATGTTGCATAACATAACATGTGTAGAAGTTACAGATGTGTTTGTGTTTCTTCAATTTTGAGTTTAAAATGAACGTCGTAATTTCAAGTACTGCATCTAATAGCTCATAATGACAATTGACATGCCAAAGAGGTGAAAGAATTCAAGAGATTAAGGCATTTGAAATTCACCAATGGGGCTGGAATCATCTTTCAAATTAGAAAGCTGCAAAATTTGTCTTCTTTGAGAGAAATTTAGTTCTTCTCTGAAAATTGGATCACCATCCCTCAAGGTCCTATGGATAAATATGAATGTTTTCAAAGCTACTGTCAATGACAAACACAAAAATAATACAAACAAAGTTTAACAGGAATCAAAACATATGTATACATATACATAAGCATATTAATCCATAAGTCAACGATGATCCATATACAGCCGATAAGAAAAGTATCAAATAAGTGTTGCATCGTCCCATGTAAATTGGGACAACATTGAACCGGACCAGTAGAAGATTCACTTTAGAATAGTTAAAATTATATAAACTTATTTTTCCGTGTAATTATGCAATCAAACTCTTGTATTTACTTTCTTGCTCGTGCATGGTATCATAAAGTAGTGCACCACTGGCAATGGATTAAACACTGCCCAAAACAGCAAACACCAAGGCCTTCCTAACCAATGAGGTTGCACGCACAGATCCTCACACACGACTTTGTTGTGTAAATCATCAACACATTGTATCCAGTGAGGCAATGAAAAAAAGACTACATTGGTTGTTAGATTAGATGTTTAAGCTAATAAGCAAGCAAGACATCGATATTTCGAAATTCCATGACTTTTGGCAAGTACTTACTAAATATTAGGTCCATATAACAACTCAAAACATTTTGAATTGCACCAAGAGAGAAAGCTAGCAATCATACCTTAGCTAACCCACCAGCAATGACTTCGATTGACACAAAGGTCCAAATCTGATCAACATTAACAAAAAAGCCCACTCGCTAAAATCAATCCAATACCTGTTTCACAATTACAAAATGTGTTGAAAACCGAAAATGGATGAAAAAGAAAAGAAGAAGCATTCAAAAGATTAAGGCATTTAAATAATTAGACGAAGTGGACAAAGATCAGTAAAAAGTTGGGGAGGGAAGTGATAATCTCTACAGTGAGGTAGTAAAAAATGTGTCCAACTAATCCAATCTATTCCCTTTTGTCTATTGGCTATTGTGCCGCATAATCTCAAAGTTTAGTTTTCTAATTTCATATGTCCGGTAAATGTGTCAAACCCATTTAAATAAATACACTTAAAAGAAAATTTAATGATAAAAACATAGGAAAAGTAAGTATTCAAACTCTTCAATGGAAAAAGAGAAGGCGCGGAGAATTACCGTTTCACTTCATTCTGGGCTTCAGAGAGTGAAGGAGGTCTTCATCGCAACAACTTTATTTTCATCACCATAAACCAAAGGATAAACCCTACAAACTTCCATTACAGATAGGAAGGATTACATATACCTGTGCACTGAAAAATTCAACATCTAAATTTTCTTTTCCATGAAAATTGAAAGGAAAACAGATGACTCAAATGGAAGAAAGACAAAAGCCTAATCATATACTCGAAAGGAACACGACATACATAGCTGTAATCGTACCTTTGCTGACCTTCTCTTTGAGCTTTAGGATATGGAATTACATTTACTGTGAAATCGGACTGCAATGAAAACTCAATGAGGGGAATCCTTAATCAAAACAACATCCATCCTGGACATGGTGATTCAGTTTCAGCTACAACAATCCTTCCTTGAAAGTATAGACAGTATGCTAGCAGCCTAAAATCCCAGCAAAACGCATTAATAAAAAAATTCAAACTTTGAAGCGATTTCACAAATTGGGATCAATAATTTGAAAACCCAGTTCAAATTGTCATTGCTCGGATGGAAAAATCGAGGAATGAAAGAAAAAATTAGGGTTAGGACTGAACTTGGCACTTGAACCAAAGACGGTTGGCTGAGGCCAGCATTGTAAAGAGCTTGAGAAACCTTATTGAACACACTGAGGGATGTCCATGAAATGCCAGAGACGGTTGGCTGAGGCCGGCGTTGTAGAGAGCTTGAGAAACCTTATGAACACACCGAGGGACGTCCACGAAATGCTTTCTTTGATGAAAAACGTATATCCTCTGTCATTCTGGTACGCAATGGTAGTGGCGGTTCCGAACCAGCGGGAGTGGCTGAGTCAGAACAAGCTGATCTGAAACGAAGACGAAGCATTAGAAAGAAGAGAGAAGCAGTGCTCAAATTGGGAAGGAGGTTGATCGATGTACGGATATCAGAATTTTGTAACTAAACAAATGAAGCGGAGAAGTTATGATAAGTTTTTTTTTATTAATACCCCACAAAATGTTGAATGCACCCACACTAAAATGTAATGTTAAATAACTTATGTACCCTATTATGCAATGACAATTTCGACCTTATTAGGTTTAAAAATAAAAAAAAATTTCTAAACATACCCCAATTCACTTTTAACCTATTATTTATCTTTTTCAAATCAAAACCTCTCACTCTCCATTGTTAAACAAAACCCTAACCAAGCTATCTGCGTTATTTTATTTTCTGATTTTGGTTTCAAAGGAGATTAGTCCCACATATCTGCTTGTGATTTCCCAGGAAACTATACTACCCAAGCCTATTATTGATTGATTTAATCCTAATATTTGTTTACAATTCCCGAAAAACCCGATTTTTTGAAGGCTTCTCTGTTAGAAAGTTCTCATTGTTTTCAATGGTGAATTACTGCAACATAACTCATTTCATTCAATGGTGAATTACTGTAATATAACTCATTCTGTTCAATTGGCACCTCTCAAGTGACTATTTTCGTCTCTCCACATCAATCACATAGGATGTTAGGGTTTACTCCGAAGTCAATTTAATTTATAAAATTAAAAATGAGTATTATAAGATTTGAAGAATATGGGGTGTGTAGAAAATATGGAGTGTATGCAGAAAATGTAAGGTGTATGTTGGGAATGTGAGGTGTGACGGTTTTTTGGGAAAATATGTGAGGTGTAATAAGATAATTTTTAATTGAAAAAATAAATGTGGAGTGTATTAAGTATGTAGGGTTTATTCAACAATATGTGAAATGTTAACATAATAAGCCTTATGATAAAAGGTTGTGGGGGTTTGAAATTGAACGGAAACTGCTATGCAGAAAACTGAATGTCCTGAATGTGGTGGTTTTTCAATACATATTTATGTGCGGTTATTGTTTTTTTTACCAATTTATCCTCACTTTTTGAAATGTTTTGGGTTTGGTTGTGGAGAAAACAAAAGGATTTTCTTGACATTTTGAAATGCTTCACCTATTTCGCCTTCTCCCTATATATATATAAGGGAAGTGTTATTGATACTCAAAAAATCTCATTCTACACTTCTCTCATAAGTGTATTTTTCTTTCTAAATATTGAAAATTTGGAATATAGAATGAGATTTTTAGAGTGCCAATAACCAAATCTCTATAGATAAACATGCCTTTAAGGTTTGTATATATCGTCCAAGTTACAATTTAACAGCACCAACAACGGCTGAGATTTATATATATTGTGATTGCTCGTAACCTGTCCTGTTGGAGCCACCAGACCGCCCCCTCAAGTTTTAGGTCCAAACCGCCCCCGCAAGTTTTAGGTCCAAATTTATGTGACGTGCCAAAATTACAAAACGTGGGCAAGAAGGCGACACCAAAAGTGATAACCGCGTCAACTCACAAACACCACCAAGTGGCTCACAAACTATAAGAGACCAAAAAAAAAAAAAAAGAGAGGGCAAATAGAAGAAGAAAAAGATAAAGTACAAAACCACGGACTCGGCACGTGTGAATAGTAATTCACACACGTCCTCCGTCCAATGAAATCCATTGTATGCGGATATAAAATCGGGAACAATCCAAGCCCATCAATTAATTAATCCGAACTTTTAAAATTTGATCAAATGATTAAAATAATTATAATTTTTAAAGAGATTCCTTGTTTATAACGGTTAGATTAAATTTCAAAAGCTCGGATTAATTGATTGGTGGGAGAGATTCAGAGGGGATCTCTTCCCTGCATGGCTCAGCTCAGGGATAAATTTTTTATTGTGAGCAAAATACTAGTGGTATAGTATGTATTTTTATATAAATGGTGGAAAGTTTTTATTAACTTTTTAACACAGATATGCCACTATTTGTATGGTGACACATGATGTACCAAAATCTCTCTAGCTCAAGAAGTCAGTGGCACTCCCCGAAATTCACGGGAACGCATGAGGGTATTTCCGGCACGCGAGTACTATAAAAGGCGGTTAAACCCTCCCCGGAAGTTCGGTGGAGAGTCTCTGCTGCGTTCTCTTTCTCACACGCAATTTCTTGGTCGCTTCCTCACACACTCACACCACACCCACTCGCTTTTATCTATAGTCTCCATTTTTCTTTCTAGGGTTTCAAATTTCACAAATTCGGACCCACAAATTCCGATTGGAGCTCCGAATTCTTAGTCGCCGTGATTTGATTTTGTACTGCTTAGAAAATGGACTCTGATAATTTGTGGAGCAGTCTCTTCTCGACCTCCTCGTCGAGGCGGTACCAATCGCGATCCGGTGAGTTTTCCCTAACTGCCCCTGGCGGTGTTCATTGTTTGTTGTCGATTTTCTTGAATTTTTATGGTGGTTTTTGGTGCTGACGATTGCGGTTTGTATCGTGCAGATCTGTTTTCGCACGAAGAGATTGACGGAGACGATGAGTTAAAGGCCGAGTTTTTGTGCCCTTTCTGCGCCGAGGATTTTGATGTCGTTGGGCTTTGCTGCCACATCGATGAGGAGCATCCAGTGGAGGCTAAGAACGGGGTATTTTGTTCAATTTCACTTTTTACTTTAATTTTGAAGTTTTACAATTGATTAGTTTCTAGCTTAACTAGAAAAGTGGTTGTTCGAAATGTGTGAAAATACGAACTTTTGAGCTTTCAAGAGTTTTTCCCATGTAAATTTAATGATTGCGTTTTGTTGGTGGTCTAGTTTTCGTTTCGGCTTAGAAAGCATCAATTTTTGTTGCGTTTAGTATCACTAGTTTTGTAATTTACGAAGAAGCTGTATGAGTCAAGGCATACAAAAGGGTTTAATTGGTTTTCTCTTGGGGAGGAAATGCATCATTGTCAAGGCATACAAAAGGGTTTAATTGGTTTTCTCTTGGGGTTTGGCTCTGCTTGTAAAGGGGTTTTGTTTGTTGAGTAGGACTGTCATTTGAGTAGGGTTGAGTTGCAAATTAGTGGGTTATGTTGAGGGGTCATTTAAGTGGTTTGTCACGACTGATGATGTGGTTCATGTAGTATATGATTCTGTAGAGAGGGGATGGTTTTCGTTTAGACAGTTAATCATCCTTGTACGACATTTTTGCTTCTAGCTTTAATAGGCCGACAATATTGGTATTCTTCCTTGCTAGTTTTGTGTGGGGTGTTGAAGACTGCTATTGGGCCCCTGTTCGTTGAGTGTTTTTATGATGGGATTGAGCCAACCTCGTAGTTACTTTCTTTGTTGATATACAGATAGGTAATCTTTTAGGTCTACATGGTGTTTTAATTAATATGGAAGGAATGTTTCTCTTGAGTTGTTTATGAACTGCCCATTGTCATTGTTTGGGATGTTCCCTTCTCTTGGGTTTTTATGAAACTAAATGTTCATTTCCTTTCCTTTTTCCAGGTCTGTCCTGTTTGTGCGAAAAGGGTGGGAGCAAACCTTGTGAGCCATATTACCACGCAACACGGGAGTTTGTTAAAGATATCCTTTCATCTGGATTTCTGTGTTTGTTTTGGTTATGATTTACATGCATGCTCATTGTGCCATTAAAGTTGGTTCGTTAATGTGAGGATGATTTTTATCGTTTAGATAGTTGGTTAAAGCCGTCTAAATAGTGGCGTGACAGGAATCATGTGTCTAGATAAAACCTTTATCTTCACTGGTTTTTCAATTTCAGCAAAAATTATGCTCAGATATCTAATTCACTCTCGCCTATCTTAATGTGTCTGGCCAGCAAGCAGACGAGTTATTATAATGTGATCGATTATCACCATGACCTTGTTCCCTTTGTTGACACTTCCTGTATTTCCACCAATCACTTTACTCTGCTGCCATGGTATTTTGCTTGCATAAAAACTTTGATAACTTTCCCTTCCATGTTTATTTTTGGTTTGGTCATATATATTTTAAAGTCCAGAGTAAGTGTCATGTGCTCCTTGACTATACATTACGTTCAGCGCAAGAGGAAATTTCGCAGAGGATCTAGTTCAACATTTTCTATATTGAGGAAAGAGCTACGAGAAGGAAGTTTACAATCCCTTCTAGGAGGGTCTTCATTCCTTCCGTCAAACACTGAAGCTGATCCTTTGTTGTCTTCTTTTATATTTAACCCTCCCACAGTTGATGAGGATGTGAGTACAAAGCAGCATCCTTTAGTTGAACCATCTTTTGTAAAGGAGAGCACAAAGGAAGTGGTCTCAGAAAGGTATGAGCATCATTGCCACTTTACAACTTTTAGCTTTTTCTTTCCTTTTTATGTTTTTGGTGGCTGAGTAATAAATGAGAGTCCTCATACCTCGATTTTTTTTAGGTATGTAGAACAATAGATGTGTAGGGATAGTATCTAGGGATTGTCTTGAGGTCTGGATCTACAACAGATATATCATGTGTGCTTATTATGTGTTTCCGTTGTGTGCTGTGAATTTATTATGATTTCTTCAAGGTCTAACACTTGTCTATGATGCGACAGAAGCGTTCAACAGCCACCCTTGTCTCGCAAGGACCAAGAGGAGCAGGCGCGGAGGTGTGAGTTTGTTCAAGGATTGCTCATGTCGACTATTCTTGATGATTTATGAGATAGAAGAGTGTAGTGGGAGTTGTGGAAATGATAAGTTATTAGGAGCAGAGCGCAGAGCGTAAGTAATACGAGAGGGAGGGGAAGAAAGTGGTGCTATTTATGTAACAATCGGTAAGAGTTAGATGATGAGAACAACAGCTATGTATTCGTAATGTACTCAGACCTTTATGTGTATAATGAAAATATGGAATAATTTATGCACTTTCTGCGTTTGCTTTCTTTCTTTTACATTTTTCTTGATAGCTTGCCAAAGGTTGTACAAACTCGAAGGGAATGGTGACACTTTAGGTTAGATATGGCATTAGGGGCACTTGAGGCTCGTTAGTGGACTGGCATTGGATTTGAGTGGATACTCACTCAAGGTAGGGCAAGTGATTTTTCATTTTGAAGGGATTAGACGTCTTTAATCCTTGCTTTGTGGACGTGGAGCAAAGGAGGAAATGTAAGATTATCACTTGCTAGAAATTATACTCGGACGTAAAAACTAAACGACATTGTAGTAAATTCTAAAACCACGTCATTCTAACAAATTGCTAAAACTTCCTAAAACTACGGCGGCAAGCCATATGATGTTATAGTTAATTTCCTCCATTGGTTTATACAAGGATTTAACTTAAGCGGTAGTTTGTGGTACCAAAAAGTACTATTATTCAATCTTTTAGGGTGCGTTGCCATCTTATTGTTTTAGAAGCATTAAGGCTCCGCCTTCTGCCTAGGAGTAATGCAAAATCGATCAACTTTTTCAACCATATTTGTAAATTATGTGATATGTCACCGATACGAATAAGCACGTTAATTAACATTTATGTAATAATTCAATCATCGACCACCACATCATATGGTTTACAAAATATAATTTCCCTAGAATTACCCTTAGCGTACCCATAACCCTACTAAACTTCTAGTCTATGACCAGCATAAATGCACGGTGAGTTGTTCTTTCTGCCGTAACTTCGAAGGCTGGTTTATAACAAGTCCCTGGATAACACTCCCATGTGCACCCATCGAGATCCTAGACCCTGTCCGGACGTAGGGCGGGCACCGGAGAAACATACCAACAACTACAATGTCACCGTGACAATATTCCAAGAAAATCATGCATGACAATGCATGATTAGCTTAGAATATTACCACAACATCCCAATTGCATGGAAGTCCTTCACAGCAGGCACATCCTAAAGCTCATTTGACACGATGTGCCATCAGGATAGAGCATGAATGCAAGGACACAACCAAATTGTTCATCATAACTCACTGCTACTCTGCTATAAGATCACATTATACATTAACAAAACACGTTCGCGTTGAACTTTGCTGCTAATTCATACAGGGTGTGATTAAACATACTAAACAAGAGGCACCTCTACATACAGAGATAAGTTAAACATATTTTCATCATCATCTAAATAGTAATTGAAAAATTGTCAACATCTACTTACTTGTTCCTGAATCCTCAGAGATCATCACCCTAAACCGCCAAATTGTGGAAAGCAAATAGACTAAGAGTCGTCATCATAATGCCTGATGCAATACATGATGCCCGTTCTGAAGCACACTTCCCATATTAAAAGGCCTTTATTAACGATAATTTCATCACTATTTCTTCTTTCAGCCTATCAAAGCCCTCACAAAGTCAAAATCACTCTTAATCCTCCTTTGATGATAATATAAGATATCAAGGGCCAAGTCTGTAATATAACGACAGGAGTGCGAACTGACATCCAACCAATAACATAAAAAACTGGCCGGTGAAAAGGGTTTTCGTCATCAGTAGGTTATATCCCTTTTACATTGGGATGATAACTGCAAGCTGATTATAATTCTCCTTCTCACCTCTTTGGAATGCTGTGCGACACAAAGAAATTGAAATCAGGATGATTAACTTGCAATCGCCTCAGCCAGTTGTCAGCTTCTCGCAATAGAAAATCAGCCCTTTGACATTCAGAAACTCCATTAGAATTCCAAAAGGGAATTTTGAACTTGTACGAAGCAAGCCCAAAGATTGGCAATGATAGTTTGAAATTGGCATTTTGATTGTCTCTAGCACCACCAAACTGAAGCCTATCAGTGCTTGCACCTGTTCCGGGCAACATGATATATTATAATGTGATTTGCAAAACAAGCAAGTGCATGAATGTACACAAATCTATAATACATATGTAAAGAAAGATAGAGAGAGATGTACCCTTTGTGGGAGTCGATACGAAATGAAAGGTCAAGAAGCAGGCATCTAGGCTCTGCAAAGTTGGACCTGTAGGTATCCTATATATCGGATACCTTTAACAAAAATATACACAGCCACTATTTTAGATTTCTGATTACATATGTACCAATGCTGTGTTTAGTAAAATAAAGCATACCATGCTACAGAAATCCAACTAGAAGGTGATAGATCACAGCTCCTGTAAGTCCTCAGCTCTGGAAATTGAGATGCAAGAAATGAAATCTGTTGGAAGGTAGTGATGAGTGCATGTCACCATCAAACTCATGAAAGAAAAAGGAAAACTCAACGCATGAAGTGTTCTGAGACGATGAGTGACTTGCCTTATCAGCCAAAGGTTCACGACCAAATGGTTGATCATGCTCCATATACTGAAAGATAAGTTGACCAGGAGGGTTGCAAGCCTCACCACTTTCATCACTTGAGGAACCATTTAAGGGTTTAGTTCTCGGTAAGGTTTTATTCCAACCATGGCCATTTACATCTGTAGCATTCTGCCAACCTAAAGTACCATAAGGAACATTGTTGAATCCTCTTTCTGTTCCATAATCACTGCTGCCATCACTACTTGTCTCCCTCGATGACTCTGCATCACTCTCATCACCAGGCCTCCAGTAATAACATGCACACAAGTGGAAAATTATGTTACACAAACAGTTACTAGCCAACGGATTGATTTCATCTGAGTGAACATTGAGTTTGTGTACCTCTGTGCACAAACTCACAGCTGATAGCTATTAGCATATTTCTCTAAAGCATCAAAATATAAAGTTCAAACTAGCTATTAGCATGCATGGAGCCTTGCACACAATTTATCTCATAGATGACAAAGGTAGGTAATTGTTTGGCACCAGGACTAGCATGTTTCACTAAAGAAAGGAAAACACAGTTCAAACTAGTTACTATCATATAACTCCGTGCAAAATTTTGCCAATTCAAGTTGAGATTAAGCCACATATCATCAGACATCTCACCCCAACACCAAGTAACACCATATCTAAGTACACTACCATGCATTATATCAAAGATCTTGTCACCCATTGCCTACAAGATGTCTACTGGCGACTCGACCAACAGCACTCCACTACCATATTTCGTCCTTCACAACCTATCTTCACAATATATCTTTCCACCGTCTACTACCACAGCCATTTTTAACACGGCTTGATAAGAAGACATTTCCTATCCTCATATAATGTAAGCCGTAACTACAAGTAGATAAAAATTGAATCCCAATCAACCCAGTTGTATCTGAAATCTCCTTGATCACTCCAAACGAGAAATCAAGTGAAAGGACCAGTAAATGAGGAAACAGAATTTACAAGATATAGTAACACACAGCGCATGAGATTTAAGTGTAGGTCTGTCTTATTATCAGGTAAACTAAATCTCAGAGTGCACACTGACAGGAATCCAAAACTGATCACAGCAGAATCCATCTGCTTCACTTCACTAAATTTAATTTAATTTAATTTTTTCCGACAGTTTCCCCGCGTAATGAAATTCATGTCAAAACCCATAAGTTAAAAATGAGCAGCAACATCAAAACATAAATTACTCACCTTATTCTCGTTGAGGACTTTGATGGGTCTACATAGAGCTGAATAGCGGACAAGTAAGGAACATAGTACTGGATAACAGAGTCACTCCCATTCAACAAAAGAGGGACACCTGCACCGTACGCGCTCCACTCCTTGAAAGATTCCCATAAATCTCCAAGCACAAAGTATGGATGTAATTCTGCCTCGCGACTCCTCCATCCCCTCACACTTGTCTATCCATCACCAAATGGAAACACATGAGAACCACTTCTACAACAATTACAGAAACAATGCACCGAAACCCAATACAAGAAATTACAAGAAAATTCAAGACTACGAAGTTTAAAGTTGAAAACTTTAATTCAAGTTTAATAGGAGCTTAATTTAGAGGGTTTTTACTGATAAAGATGACAAATTTTAAAATTTCCAGCAATGCCATATATTCCCAAAATTTCAATCTCTTCAATTTTCTTGAAACACCAAATAAAGCTTCAAAATTTTAAAATTGACTTTGTAATACCTTCGAAAAATAGTGAGCCGCAACCACAGGTGTGGTGTACTCCAAAAACCGATCCAAATTCGTAGTATCGCTCATCACTCCCCGACCCGAACCGGAACTGTATGAAGTCGCACAGTCATCTGAATCCACCGACTGCCTCTGATGCTTCTCGTCCTCTAGCTTTTTTCTCTGCTGCTGCTGCCGTATAGCTGGCGGGTTGTAGAAGCGATTATCTCCTCGTATCCGAGCAATCGAAACGCCTGACATTGGGGAAAACCGGATTCAGTAGAAGGGGTGTATTGGGTGAAACTGTTTCGAGAGCAGACGGTAAGCCGAAGGGATTTTGTTCTCGGGAAAACGAAGAGTCCAGAACAGCTTGTGGTCCTGTGGGGCTCGTTCCAGAAGAACTCTGTATATATGATGGCAGTGAAATTACCACATTGTCCTTTCACTGTTTGAAATTGACCTACTTGTCCCGGTCCAAGTGTAAACTGGAATGGAAATGTATAGATTTTCCTGATTTGTGCGAATCTATCCACGGATGCGTTTGTAAGGGCAAGTGGGTGGGCCTGACCAGTGGGCCTTGAACCGGCCCATTAAAAGACTTGATTGCCCCTTGATTTTATAAATAACACAGAGCTTTGGGCAGGAAGATTTTGGTGGGCATCAATTGTGAGGTTTCCAACACTTATGAGTGTATTTGTGATTTGAGTTGCTGCTAAGTGGTTTGCAAGAAAAACGAAATCAGATTCTCTAATTACATTAACACATTGCGTCATATGGTAGATAAAATTCACTTGTTACATCAATTGGTGTAGTTAGAAAATATGATGCTTTCAAATAATCGTTTTATGTGTACGAGAAGAATCACCTGTGAATTGTATGTTTTTGTCGTATCTCATTTAGTGTCAACAAGTTAATTATATCCTTTATTATGATCCTTAAATTGGTAATTGACATATGCTTTATGGTACTACGGCGGGTCAGCTCAAGTAGTTAGAAATTTAAAGACTTTAACATTATTCATTAGTGGTATATGCTTATCAATATTACAATGTTTTAGTAATTGATAAATGTAATATCGGTAACTCATATGTAGTTAGAAAATGTAGTGCTTTAAATTAATCGTGAATCATATGGTGGATGACATATATTGGTTTTATTATAGAAGTTATTATGATCTTTAGGTGATTGATATTCTGTCTTAAAAGAACCATTAAGTGATCATTATGAATTACATATATAAGTTGGGTCACATATAGTTATAAAATGAAGCTTTAACATTATTCATTAAACAAAATGGATTGGACACATGTCCAAGTAATTGAAATTATAAACAAAAATTGGACATGTGTTCAAATCTGATTAGGTGAAAGCAAGAGTGGCTGTTGAATTTTTAGCAGGCAAGTATTGTTCTAAAAAGAAACATACAAACATATCATCAAATCCATGATTTTATTTTTATTCATTTGTAAATGTAAGGAAATACAATATTCACTCTTCAATCAAAAGCTCCCAGTACAAGCCAAGATAGTGTTTCAGAAGTAAAAAAAAAAAAAAAAAAAAAAAAAAAAAAAAAAAAAAAAAGGAAATGAAAACCACACAATTATTTGATGCCAAAGAGGACACAGAGTTTTGATCAAGATAACTTAGAAAATCATTGAAGCAGCAGAAGAATTTAGTTGTAAGCATCCTGGTGCTCCAAGAGGTAGTTCTCAATCAGCTTGAAGAGGTGGGAGGCCTTCTCTTTGCCAGCCTTAACATGCTCTTCCTTGATCTCAACATCACCTTTGGTGTGGTAGTGGCTGGTGCTCTTGATGACTGAACCACCGCCAGCAGCAACCAACTTAGTCTCATAAGAGATCTTCTCAATTGTCTCAGAGATAGCATCTCCTTCGATCACACTGTACTTGTAGACGAAGTTTTCCTTGTCAACCCCATCAATTCTGTGCTTCACATAGTTGTATGTGCTACCTTCACCGAAGTTGATCTTCTTAATGGTTCCAACTCCTCCATCTCCTTCAAGGATCTCAGTGCTCTTCACTGCTTGTGGTGCAATCTTGGGTATGAGGTTGTCAGCATCAAGAACAAAGGCATTGAACAGCCTAGCAGGGGGGATGACGGAGGTGAACTCGGATTCATATGTGAAAACACCCATGATTATGAGAAGTGTTTGGAAAGTAAGAAAATAAAAATTGATGAAGAGGAAGATGATGGAATGGGAGGTTTTGAGTTGTGAAAAAGTGAGGGAGCAGGTATGGTATTTATAGGGCGAGGCTGAAGGTTGATCAAAAGGTTTTATTATTCAAGTTCTGCTTGGTTCTATTCATTTACGTGGGAACCATTACTTTTTTCTACATGAAATTTTGTATTTTAGTCAAGGTGAAGGGAAGGACCATCTGGATATTGAATAAGAAAATACCCAATTAATCACGAGGTCGAGTAACCTCAATTATTTTCTCTAACATGGGCTTGCACTATGAGATTCCATTTGATAATAAACAATAGTATGAACATTCACGATCCGTGTGGGACTTCTAATAATTCAATTTTCGTTGTCCACTACCGTACGGGTTAATGTTTTGAGTCATTTCCATTTGGCTGTGTGCTTAAATAGGTTAAAATGGATGTGGACTGTGCATTGGGATAACAGTTGAAATTATTTTGGGCCATTTACATTTGGAGATGTGATAACCTAGAGGGAAAGGGTGGGCAACCAATGTTGACAAATTCCAACCAGCCAATGTTGAAATGCAAGTCAAGTCCCCCTAATTTGAAATTCTGGAGTTTGACCAAAAAGGAAAAATTGAACTTCTGGAAGTGCATACTAACTAATTAACCTCCGTAAAATCTATTGGAAAGGTTAACTACTTGGTTCATTTTTATGTTAGGGTGTTTTTGATATGGTCTGTGACTCTGTATTAAGGTTTGCTAGTAGGATAAGAATTATGATTAATTTCCCATCTGTAATCAAGGTATAAGATTGCTTTCTTATTTGTTTTAGTATATTAGCTAGGTCTTTATAAGTACATCTCTTGTAACTTTGTAGGTATAAAGTCTTAGCAAGATGTAATTTATTCGTTATGTAGCATGCTTTCAATTTGTAGTATTCTTCTTTCTTGTATGTTTATGGAATAATATTTAGAGTTTTCTAATAAGTTTTCCTTCTTTTCGTCCTTTGATTTGTATACTAATTTTCTACTGATTTGTCATTCCTTTAGAACATCTTCGGTGGTGTCCTAAAATTGTCCCTACCACCGCATGTCTTTAAGTTTAAGGACTTGGTGGCCTCCAATGGGGTTGAACTCCAATTCCTAAAGTAGAGGGACTGCTCAAAGCTGTAAAAATTTTCCTCGCAATTAAGAACTATATAGGGACGACCATGGTGGAGCCCATTGGGTTTTGAGTGGGAAATGATGCTCACCCATGTGAAGGCTTATATTAGACCCGGCAGTTTCTGACATGACACGAAAGCGACATGAAAATAATGGGTTTCAGGTCAATACGACAACTAATCGGGTGATCCGTTAAGAACCTGTTATTAACGGGTTCTTAACGGGTATACACGCGGGTAGCATGTGGGTAACCCGTTTCAACCCGTTAAGAAAAAAATTATTTTGATAATTTTAAAGTTTAATTACTAAAAGATTTACTATAAAATACAATAGCCATATTAATATATACAATATATTCTATATTAAATATATAGTTTTGTATTATTATTCTATATAAGTTAAAAAAAAAAGTTTTAGTCATTATTTATTTTTATTATGAGAGTTCCTTATTATCATTACTAGGATAAACTTTACTTAACATGTTGCTGTCCAAAATTAAAATAAACTAGTATATTATTTGTATAGGCAAGAACTAAGAAGACATACATACAAGTATGAAAAATGTCAAATAATATATAAACACTTGTGATTTATCATTATTCCTTCATGAGTAGATAATGGTTACACTTGCATTATCGTTTAGATTGTTAAAATCCTCCAAACCCTCATGAATAATGTTTTTTATTTGAGGGTAAAATTAATAATAATTATTGTAGAAGTGTAAAAAATGTAAAAAAAATATATATATATATAGATATACACACACACACAATCAGTCATAGTGACAAGCTTTACAACTTTCATGAAGGGGCCAGCTTTGAAATCCAACACTATAATCCATAAACCTTAAATTTATATTTAACTATCGATTGTCATTTATTCTTCTTACTGAATTTCATTTTTAAAATTTTCTTTTTTGAAAACATGATCATTTGGCAGATGTAAGAAGATGAATGGTTTAGATCTTTGATATCACGTTTCGATATTTACGGTTAACTAAAATATGAGTCGATGTCATATAGTTTATAGAAACTTTATAAACATTAAGCAATATTTTCACTAATCGTAAAACTCTAGATATAATATCAAAGATCCAAACCGTTCATCTTCCTGCATCCTCTAATAGATCATGTTTTCAAAAAAGAAAATATGAAAAAACAAAATTTGATGAGAACAATGAAGCGTAAATGTAAATAGCAATCAAGGGTTAAATTTTGATCTATGATTTATATGATTACAGTGACGAATTTCGAAGTTAAGCTCTTCATGAAAGTTGTAAAGCTTGTCATTAGGAGCGTTTATATATATATATATATATATATATATATTTTTTTTTTTTTCTATATTTTTTACGCTTCTACATTAATTAAAAAACTATTAAAGACTTTACTTAAATAATAGCCGTAAGATAAATGAGAGTAAGTATGTACCATTGGATTCTATTTCACTTATATTATTAGAACTTTTTTGGACAAAAAAACCCCTTCTCTATTCCAATATTTTCCAATTTTACCATTTGATCAATTTAGGTAAGCGAAAATATACTTAAAAGAAAATTGCGTTTTTATGTTTTGGATATGACAATATGGTATGTATATAATTTTAGTATTATGTTTTTCATTTGGTTATTTATTGGTTTAAAATATATTTTCCTTAACGAGTAATGGGTCGGGTTATATTACCTGTTAATATTATATGGTCGATTTCAGGTCGGGTCATTTTACCTGTTTATTTTAACGGATAATACACGGCACGACCCATTAGGATATCGGGTATGACACGAAAACGACACGAACACGGAAAACATGACACGAATGCTAGGTCTAGCTTATATGCAGCTCTTGAGCTACTTCTTCTACACGCGTGGTTGCACAATTATAGTCACCAAACAATTGCAGACGCAACCACATGCGTAAGTCCCACAATGCAAATGTTGCTCTTTCTTCTTCTTCTTCTTCTTCTTCTATTGCAAATCAACAGTCCAAATTTAATCTGGACTTTTTCATTATACAAACCTCACTTCTTCTTCTATTGCAAATCAACGGTCCAAATTTAATCTGGATTTTTTTATTATACAAACCTCAAATTTAGGTTCTTCTTCTTCTTCTTCTTCTTCTTCTTCTATTGCAAATCAACGGTCCAAATTTAATATGGATTTTTTTATTATACAAACCTCAAATTTAGGGTTTACATTATGGAGACAATATTCTTTTAGGGACACAAATTTTTTTTTTTTTTTTTAAGTCCTGAAATAAGGCCTCAAAGGTGCTCTTATGCAATGCATGCGACTATTGTTAAAGAGCTAACCTTGCCTCATCCTTTTCCACTATTAAAAATAATATACATCAACACCTAATTACATGCGTGAGAAGCTTACAATGCTACGTACAATTACTATTGTATATGTTGAAAGGATTGGTACAAAGGATTGGGTTGGAATGGAGAAATTACTATTGTCAAGGTATGTTGAAGGAATAAATGAAAAATTTGTGGTAAACTTGGAGTAGGAGATGAATTACTTAAGAAGAAAACTTATCTATTTCAATCCTACTCAGAATGATAGGATTAGAAATGAAAAATTTCTTCCATCACTAACCCCTTTCTAATCCCCTCAAAAAAAAAAAAAAAAAAAAAAAAAAAAAAAAAAGGAAAAAAAGAAAAAGATATTCTCTACCTTCAAGGTGTAAATTTGACACATCCCAACCCGAGATGTCCACTAGGACTCCGAATTGAGCTGTGTTGGCCGACACCTAGAAGATGACGAAGCCATAACGTGTATTGATGTGGAAGATGTGAATAAATTTAAACCTAAAAGTGTCTAAGTACAAGAGTGCACGGTGAGGGGTATGAACTCATTTCACACGCGATGACAGATCATAAGTACAGTACAGTAGAATAGGATGAGAATTTTACCATCGGTGGTAATCGCCTACCCCAAGATATGCTGATAATCCTCGTCGGTACGAAAACTTCGCTACTAGAACCTGGAGGGGCGAAAAACAAGGATGAGCCTGAAAATAAAGTTTTAATAAAAACATTTTGAAAGCGTTATAACCCCTCGCCATATACCCGTATAGTTTGTAGGTACGGAAAATGAATGCACATGTGCAGTAAAAACATAAGCATGCCATGCCATAATATCTCAGTAATAATAAATGTAAGCCAGGTGTGAGATCAGTCTAAACTAACATGCCAATCGGAGTCACCTTAATGTGACCTGTACGACTGGACCTATTACTCATCAGTTTATGCTAGCACATGAGTCGGAGTCACCTAGTGTGACTTGTACAACAGGTTGGGTGTAAATATGTACGCTTTAGTGCTATGATCACATGAAAACTAGCATTATGAGCGGGTCACCTATGAGTCGGAGTCGCCTAATGTGACTTGTACGATAGGGTAACACCTAACTTGGATCCAAGGCGAGCGTGTGGTGCGGGAGGTGAATAATCACGTGAAGGCTGTGCCCTGACACGGGGCGGGAGCACTAACACTGGGATGCAGCAATGATGAGCTCTAAATTAATATATGCATGCTCATATAATTCAACCATTTCAATCACATAATAACTCACCTGAACTTACCTGCGCCTCCGTAGGATCATTTGCCATAGCCACAAATCTCATCACAATGCAATATTTAAATATAACACATTTAAATCATGGCATGCTATGTATAATCAATTTAAAACATTTTCTGAAAACCGTAAGGTGTACACACACACACACACACACACACACACACACTATAAAAAGGAAAAAGGCCCACTCACTTGAGGTCCACGCTACAACTCCCAAACACGAATATTAAGGCGTCACGAATGATCGGCGCCTAGAACAATTATCAAATCACGTCTAAGAATTCTTATCAATAGAACATGTCACTTACAGATCCTATTTGGAAAGATCCGTACATCAGATTCCCAATCCGTAAGTTTCTAATATCCTCAAATATTACGTACTATAACGTATCAAAGTTTGGTGACGATCCAACGGTCAGATCGTTGATTGCTATAATAATCAAGTGGCA